GCCTTAAGAGCACATGACTTCTTATCCACTGTTCAAAATACCCTTTGGAGGACTGTTTTGATCACCGTGCTGGAGTGGCTGCCCATTATGGATTCATACACATCCCCTTTTCCTAGACAGTCAATTCGAATATTGCCTCCACCACCCACGGAAGTTGGCTTCCACCACCACCTCCAACCCCCGTGAAGTCAGCAGCATTTCCTCCCAACATAGGTGGCTGGTAAGGAACAGGCACAGCGGAGCTCACAATATGGGAACAGCACTCCCAGTAACATCCCAGAGGTAATCACCACCACCCTGGACACCATCAGTTAGAAGATGCGCTATTATTTTATCAGTCACTTAGAAAAAAACCCAAACCACTGTCCAATTGTGATCTGCAGTCACTTATAATACATGCTCATTTTGGGGACATGACAGATGTGTATCCTAGAACTCATGAAATGGGATTTTTTGTTGTTGTTGTTGTTACCAGGGATTGAACTTGGGACCTTGCGCTTTCGAGGCAGACAGTGGAACCACTGAGCTAAATCTCCAGCCCTGAAATGGAATATTTTAAAGCCTTGCAAAGGGAGTGGCATTTGAACATTTCTCAGGAGACAAAGTTAAGAGTGTATTGAGCAGGTCATATAGGATAAACACTTCATGTTTCTCTTGCTCAGTTCTTAGGATTTCTTCTTATACGCTATTCCAGGGAATTTTTGGCAACTCTACTGTCCAAGTCCATTTTTTGTTGTATAACAAAATACCAGAATCTGGCTACTTTGTAATGGAAAAAAGTTGATTTGGCTCATGATTCTGGTGGCTAGGAAGATTAAACAGCGTGTCATTAGTTTTCCATGAAGGCCTTTTGGCAGATGGTGGCATGAGGCAGGAACACATAGGGAAGAGAGATCACTTGGTAAGAGGGGAATTAAGAGGACAGGGAGGGGCCAGGTTCCCTCTGCAACAACATCTTCTCTGGGGGGACCTCACCCACTCCTGTGATAACTAACCAGCTCCACCAGACCAACATTAATCCCTTCATGAAGGGTGTTCAAGATCCAAGCATCTCCCATCAGGCCCCGCCTCTTAAAAGCTCCTCCTACTTCTCAATACTGTTGCATTGGCAACCTCTTCAGAGGTCTGAACCTCTGGGGTTCAGACCATATCCAAACCATTGCTTCAGCTGTCTAATGTTCAGGCTGTAGTCAACCAACTAAGAAAACAACCAGAATGCTCCTAGCTGCGTGAACCTGCACATTGAATGTAAAATCTCTGGTGTGTGTTCCCACATTGGCAAATTCAGTGCAATATAGAAAGAATCCCTCCTTGACCTAGTGCCCTTGTACATATTTGCTAGATATTTGTAAGTATTTTTAGCACACAAATGTTTTCCCAGGGTCAGACTGTGTATCTGTACCCCTGGGGCACACTGGAATCTAATGAAGAATGGTAGGAATACCGAGGAGGTCCAGCTTCTGTGCCAGTGACTCAGGGTGAGTTCCTGAGCGTCTTGAGCAAGGTCGGCATGGCCTCATCAGACAGAGCAGTGGTTGGGTCTGTGGCAAGTGAATTCCACTGGGGCTGGCGATTCATGTGTAGTCTCATTTATCTTCATTCTCCCAAATGTCACCCACCAATTCCCATTTCTACATAAGAGGCATGGTGAGTTTATGCATTAAGTCAGCACTGTATTTTGGCAATTGTGGAGTCCAACTTTTGGCTTTCTCAGCCCTTCAACTGCAAACAAGAGATTCCTTTAGCGCATCTTAGAAAGTCTTGTTTTCATTCTGGACATTGATAGAAGGATTTAGGAATTTGAGGTCTCTCTCTCCCCACTACCTGGGACTGAATCGAGGGGCACTCTACCACTGGGTGACATCCTCAGCACCACCACCCCCCCCTTTTAATTTTGACACAGGGTCTTGTAAAATTTCCCAAGCTGGGCTCAAACTTCCCAGATCCTCATGCCTCAACCTCTCAAATAGCTGGAGATACAGGTGTCACCATTGTGACTGACTGTTCCCCCCCCTTTCTTTAAGCCAGTAGTTTTCACTGAGTAGTAGCTCATCTTCCCCAGGGGAACTGGAGACATTTTTAGTTGTTCCGGATGGCAGGGTTTTGTGTGTGTTACTTGCCAGGGATGTTGCTGAATATCTTATAATGCAAAGATAACTTCCTACAACAGAAGAATCCATTCCAAAGTGTCAGTAGTTCCAGAGTGGAGAAACCCCACCTTCAGCTCCACACTACAGTACAAAGTACCCATCCCACCCCTCATTCCTTGAATTCCCTAATTCCCCAGCCATATTGATACCTCCCTCAGCAATCAAGTACCTCTTGACAAGACACCATAATCCATCAATTACAAGAAGTACCATTACTTTGTGATGTACAGTTGAGCATGGTAGCACACCTATAATCCCAGCACTCTGGGGGGCTGAGGCAGGAGGATCAGGAGTTCAAGCCCAGCTTTGGCAACTTAGTGAGTCTTTGTATCAAAATAAACAGGGCTAGCGATGGGCTGGGGATTTAGCTCAGTGGTTCCACAGCCTGCCTCGAAAGCCCAAGGTCCCGAGTTCGATCTCCAGTACCAAAAAAAAAAAAAAAAGGCTAGGGATGTATCTTAGTATGAAGGCCCTGGATTCAATTCCTTATTGCCGGGAAAACAAAACAAAACAAAAAAAACACCAAAGAGCAAAGAAAGGGGTGGAGGGGCCCCCTGGCAACCCCCAGGCAATCTATAGCTAGGTACTAGAATCTTGTCCCCTAAATAGAGCTCTGACTGTCTTTGGCCCCAGTGAGGCCCTATCACTAATCCTGGAAACCCTGCTACCCCTAGCTACTCGATATGAACTTCTACTTCTTAGTAACAGAACCTCTGTGTAAGACACTGGGACACTGTCCAGTTCACAGAGTAGCTGGCCAGGCAGAGACCACATGGAGGGTCCCTTGGTGGGCTGTGGAGCTGCTGCGCCTGCTGGGTGACTCTGGGCACCTTGAACAGGCCCCCTCACTACTGGGATCCTCAACATCCGTCTCCTAGCTGGACGGAGAGTACTCAGCGTGTGGTGCTTGTGCTCGCCATGGGTGAGACTTGCACATTCAGCCCCTGATAGGGGCACCCTCTGCTGCCATTAGTCTCGGGGTAAGGAAATGTCCAGAGAGGCATGTGTAGATGCTGCCTGGCCAGAGGGTGGCTTGGGGCTGCAACATCCCTTCCCACCCTGGCCTCCCTTCTGCTCTAGGTGGAAAACCAGGAATCAGAACTGCCAGACTCTCTCCTTCCCCCACGTGCTGCCTGAGCAAGCAGTCCATGCCCTGACTCCACCCTCCATTCATCCCCAGCATGCCTAGCGTCCACAGGTGCCCATCGAAAGCTCATCTCCGTGACTTCTGACTGACAGCTTGTAGCTTGTCTTCCTGCTTGCAGGCTCTTTCCCGCCAACCTCCCAGGACCCCAAAGCAGCAAGGAAGCTTAGGGTTTCTCAGCCTATACAACTTCCTTTCTTTAGCGTCATCCATGGCTTGTGTTTACAGCTAGAATAAAATTTTAAACATTTAAGCCTTTGAACTTAAAGTCTCATTTTACTTAGGATACTTTGGTTTGTGTGAGATGGGCTCTTGCTATGTAGTCCAGGCTGACTTTGAACTCACTCAGTTGCCCAGGCCTGGGTTTGAATCTGTGATCTCTTTGCCTCAGCCTCCTGAGTACTGAGAATACAGGTATGCATGACTGAGCCTGGCTTAAATATGATTATTTGTTTGTTTGTTTGGTTGGTTTTTGGGGGGTGGTACGGGAGATTGAACTCAGCCTTTGTGCTGAGCTACAGCCCTTGTGCTTTTTATTTTGAAACAGGGTCTTGCTAAGCTGCTGAGTTACCCAGGCTGGGCTCAAACTTGCAGTCCTACTTTAGCCTACCAGGCTCAGCTGTTGCATCTTTTTTTTTTTTTTGTACCAGGGATCAAACTCAGGACCTTGCGCTTGGCAGGCAGGCACAGCACCACTGAGCTAAATCCCCGGCCCTGCATCTGATTTTTAAGTGACCCCTTCTGTTACTCTCTGAAATGTTTGGTTTGAACCAGAAGTTCCCCACATGGAAGTTCCTGCATTTCTGAGCCTCTCTTTCCCCCTCCCTCGTATGTTCCATGCACACATATCTTCTCCAGGCCTTTTCCTACCTCGGGGCCTTTGGAGATGCTATTCCCTCTGTTGGGGGACTGTCTGCCCACATTACAGCATTCTCTTTGTCTTCCTCAGGACTTAGTTTAATAGTCTTTCCTTCCCTCTATCTCCCCTGCCCTGGGTGTCATTTCCTTGTTCACTTTCTTCCTATAGTCACCAAAACCTGACATTTAGTTTTCTGTGTCTTTCACCATTGTATCTGCAGGCTCCAACACAAGACCTGTCATACAAAAGTGCTGTCACTCAGCATTTGGTTAAACCAATAAAAGTCCTTCCTTCCCTGCCACCACCCCCCCCTGCCACCCCAGGTGAAGCCACCATGCTGAACAGACCCCGGGTACTCTGTGCCCTACTCTCCTGGCACAGCCCCACATGGCACAGTCATTTGTGTGACCCCAGTTTATCACAGTTTCTTTTGCTGCTTGCAACTTCCCTGGGAAAGGCCATTTGGCACCCGCTTGTCCCGCAGTGGGACGAGGCCAGCTCAGCAAGCATCAGTCCATGGAATCACCATGGGGCCTTTGCCCCTGGAGCTTTGGAGGAGGGGAGCTGTGGACAGACTTGAGGAGGTGTGTGTGGGCCAGGCAGAGAGGGTGGGGGCCCCTGCAGACTCCGTGAGGCCGAATCAGCTGGCATTGTCCTCCCCTTCTGTGGAGCTCCCTTTCCTGTGTCCCTGTGTCTTCCCTTCCCTCTCGGCCTCCTTCCCTGAGGGCTCTGGAACTCAGGAAGAACCCAGGCATTCAAGGCAGATGTAGGGACGGGAGCAGGAACAAAGTGGTAATGAAACTCCACCTGATATCCTGATGTGGTTCTGTGTTGTCTTTGTCACCAGCATCCCAGCCCAGTATTGGCACAACTGCCTCAACACAGACTCCTACAAAACCTGTGACGGAATCTCCTGCCTCCTCAAGCCAGTCAAGCCCATCTTCAGTTTCCACTACTCCAATAGAGACTTCCACAACAGAGCTCTCCAGTTCACTGAAGACAGACCAAGTCCTGGGAAGCAGCTCTGCAGGTTTCACAGGCTCACCTCAGCAAAGCACCTCTGTGACTCTATCCCCTGACCCGAGTAACACAGCTGCTACAACTACCGTGGACTCACAGGGTGGGAGCCCTGGCCATCCCGCCACCACCACCTCCACCACGCCTGAGAACACAAGCAACAGTGGCACCCCTGCTACCACACACCCCGTGTCCACTTCACAAAACCAACTGGAGACCTCTCCATCTCAAGATCTACCCCTGAAGACCACAGCACCCACTCATGCCCCTTCACTGCCCAGTACAGGAAGCTCTAACCCACTGGCTAGTGTTACTGCTGTGCCCTCTGGGAGCTCCCCTCAGGGACAGAAGAGCTCCACCACGCCTTCCAGTAGTTCAGGCCTTCTGCCCGACTCTGGTCTCACCCCCACAGCCCAGAGGACACTCACCACTCAAAGTAAGTAAGACCTTGGTGGTTTTGTTTTTATTTTTGTTTTTCCAAGCAAGAAGAAACACTTCAGGGCTCCCCCCTTCCCCGCCCCCGTACATCTGATTAGCTAAAAATGAAGGTAGAGCTGACAGTGAAACATCTGGTATCTTCTACCTTCATTCAGACCTGGTTTCCCGTTTCAGGGGTAAGCAGAGGCCAACAGTGCACATATTCTAACGAGAGTTCCATGTTTTGTCCTGCCCAGTCAAGCACATAAACAAGCCAGCAGTCTATCCACAGGCAAGACTGCATGGTGGTGGAGGCAGGGTGTGAGAAGGTTCTAGAACAGTGCTTCTCGGACCCTTTTGATGGCAGCCCACCATAAGAAGCACAGGAACTCGAATGTTATGCTATAATCCAAAAAACACACATGACACACACCAGTCAAGCAAAGTTTGACTAACTAGGATTCACTATATGCTGTACATTCTGATTTTTTTTATTCTGTTCCATTTCCTTTAACTTATTTTTAAAGTGCTGGTCTTAGCCCAGTAAATTAATTTCAGACTGTACTGATGGATCATGAGCCTCAAAACCGTGACCCACCACAGGTTCTGTTGAACCAGAATTTTGGGTGTGAGCCTGAGACTCAGCATTTCCAGGAGCTCAGGCGACATGGTGGCATCCTGAAAGACTTCACCACTTGCCACAGAGGGAGACAGTGGTTGTGTCCTGCAGGGAGAGCTGGTCTCTGAGGTAGACAAGTCTGTGTTCAAATACCCCTCTGCCGCCCATTGGCACATGGTCTCAGGCGAAGTCCCTCCAAGGCTCAGTCTCCTTGTTTATAAAATGGGGATAACGATGGTCCCTTCCTCTAGGAAAGTATCCTCAACGTCACATATCGTAGTGCTTGGTGAATGTTAGCTATGGCCAGAGATACCATTGTTGTGACTTCTTTGGCTTGGTTCTTAGTCCAGCTGATCCAGTCTGACCTGTCCTGTAAAATGGTACTGGTTCCTGTGGCATCACTTCTGTCTCTTCATCTTCACAGCCTGCTTGGTGGCTTTAGCTTGCATGAACTAAAGCCAGAAGAGCCTGTCCTTTCCTCTGGAGGGTACAGCTCACCTCTCACAGACTCTGCTTCCTCCATTACAGCACCAGTGGACCTGTCACCTGGGACTCAGCAGGCCTCCAGCATGCGGCCGGCCAGCCAGGTGCCGGCCAGCCCCATGTCTGGCAGCCAGATGCCTCCTAGCCCTTCACCCTCTTCCTCTGTGACACCACAGCCCACGGATTCTCCAACGGGAACTGTGACTGTGCCTGGCATCAGGGGACCCACAAGCCTCAGCACTGTTTCGGCTTCCCAAAGCCCCAGCATACCCACTAAACTCTGGAATTTTGGGAATAAGACGGTAATTCCATGATGGGTAGGACAAAAAAAGAGATTTAAAGAAAAGTATTTCTGTTCTTCCCCCCAACTCAGGCTTCCTCCTGGGCTGTGAAGAGATTTTGTCTATTTGTTTATCACTGTCTGTCCCCTACCCCGCCCCCAGAGCAGCTCAGACAGCTGGGTCACCAAGGACATACCTGCTCCAAAGTGGCCCAGCTGTGCCCCAGATTGCCACAATTTCTTCCCTCTGTTTCATTCACCCAGGGGAGTCCAAGACCTTTCAACTTGTCTGAACCTCTGTGTTGTGGCTTCTTCCAGGTACTTTGCGAGTCTCTCAAGGAGTCAATTGACAAGCTGCTTGTCTTGAACTTGACAAGCAAGGGAACCAACCCGGGAACCAACCACTGCGTGAGTAATGAACACTACTCACCAGAGCCCCAGCCCCACCGCAGGTCGCCAGGCGAAGGGAGGCCAAGGGGACCACAGTGCTCCTAAAAGGAACTGAGGTGTGGCTTTCCATGGGGATTGGCCCTTTCCCATCTTACAGAGCAACAAGCCAAGGCTCAGACCTGTCTAAGTCAGGTCATACCAACAGGACTGCTGCAGGGCCAGAACGAGGACCCAGGTCTCCTGAGCTTTCACTGTGGTCTGAGGTGTGAGAGACCCTGATCCTAGTTCCTGTTTGCTTCCAGCTCTGGGTGTGACTTCGCTAAGTCAGTATCTTTGAAAAAGAGAGTTTAAAAAAACAAAGACTATCCTTGACTGTGACCCAAGGAGCTATGGCCTGGACAGGAGATAATAGGGTCCCCAATTGAACATGAGGGACCTACCACCTGTGGTTGTGCCTCCTCTGTGGGTGGTCTGTGTATGTGTGTATGTGTGTGTGTGTGTGTGTGTGTGTGTGTGTGTATACACGTTTGGTATGAGAGGATGTATGTAGCAGCCCCTGCAGCTGTCCCAGACTCTGGCCTCCCCAGGTCTGGGATGTGCAGCTCTTAGTAAAGAGCCTTGAGCTCTGGTAAGTGCAGGTGGTCTCTGGCTCGCTGCTGCCCCCTCCTGGCCAGTGCATAGTTTTACAACCACTCCTAGGAACTAGAACAACAAGATTTGGTTTCTATAGGTTGCAGAACTTACAACGCCTGTATTTCTGTCATTGTTTTCTCTTGGGCATCCATTTTGCTGTTATTTCCCAAGTGAAACTTCCAGATGCATACACCTACTTAAAAGAGTTTTTAAAGGAACCAGTGTTGTCCAGGAGTCAGGCTTTGGGGACAAGGCAGGAATGGCATTGATTGATCCTGGGGACAGTCTTTTGGTGCCACTTGCCAAGCTGTGTATTGTTTGAGAGAAGCATTTCTCTTCTTGTAAAGAAAGATGGAAAGTGCTGGGTTCCTCCTGTCGTCAGGGTGGGGCATCACGAAGCCTAAGGAAGTCGTAGGCAGAAGCCCGAGGCGTGTCGCCATGTTCATCCTGCTTATATATAGACGGAGTGAACAATATTCAGTGAATATTTAGTTTTTTTGAATTATAACAATAGAAAACAATATTGTCATTAATTTCCCTTAAAATACTCCCACTTGCTTTGAACACACTTATCCCATCGTTCTTGCCACTTTCCTAAGCAATTCAGTAAGTCTTTTCATGGGTATCTTTATTACATGTGATCAAAAATACAGTAAATGCTGCTACTTGTTTCAGTAGCATCCACTGAAAAATCAGGCTTGTAAAAACATAACAATGTCCTCACCTACTTTATTCACTGGGTCTGGCACCATGTAACTAACTTTTGGCTCTTCCCAAAGTCAGAATGAATGTGAAAAGTAAATGTTTTTAATCAATTGAGGACACTGAGACAACTATGGCAGCACAACAAAAGATACTCGTGAAAGATTTCCAGAACTGCTTCAGAAAGTGGCAATAATGATGGAATAAGTGTGTTCAAAGGAAGAGGGGTGAGATTAAGGGCAATATATCTTTAACTATAATAAATTTTTAAAAAATTTGAACCTCGGTCACATGTTTTCACAGTATTGCATATATAAGCAATTCTTATACATTTTCAGGATTCCCCTTTTGCTCTGTTCAGTAGCACTTTGGCTTCCCTGCCAGTCTGATCGTGGCCTCAGTGTCTTAGCCTAGGGAGGGGGACAGGGTCATCCCGCTGGGAGCTGTGGTTTCCCCACTCCTGAGGCCTCTGCACTGTGCACAAGAGGGGGGCAAATGGCAACTTGAGAGAGCATTGGATCCCCCTGACTCCCACCCCCCACTCACTGGTGGGGTGCAGTGCTGGGAAAAACTCAATACAGGGCACTAATTCCTGATCAGCAAAAAGCTTGGAGGGAGGAAAGTGGCACTAGAGGGAAAGGCACTGTGCACCATAGCCAAGATAAAAGCTGAGGGGCATGGGGAGAGGCTGGAGGGTGCAGAGCTGGCCAAGACTGGCACAGGACAGAACTTGACTCCTGGCCGGCCTGGGCATGACGTGTAGAGTGTGGAGAGGGGAAGTGATCAAGGGTACCTCCCTAAGTCATAACTCCTTAGGAATCATCTGTGTTCTCTTCACAATAGAATAAGAATCTCCTGAACGAGAATCTGGTGACAGTGCTGTGCCGGGCAGTCAAAGCCAACTTCAACCCTGGTCAAGATAATTGCAATGTTCAGCTAGCACCTGTTCCCAATAGCCATGCAGTGGCCATCAAACACATTAGCATTCAGAGTGAGTTGAGGGCAGGAGGCCCATGCCTGTGTGGGTGGGAGTAGGGTGGAAAGAGGTAGGCAAGAGCCTGCACCTCACTGGAGGATGGGTTGAGTGATGCCACCCCAGGTCTCTAAGCAGGGTCAAGCCATGTGGTTTCCCAGGGCCACCCAAGAGATGGTGAATTATACAGAACATCCTCCTCCTGGGGCCCACCTCCAACCTCATGTCACTCTGAGATAGACTCCAGAGGTGCAGCTCTCCCTTTTTCCCACAGCAAACCTTCTTCCCACGGATGTGTATAAATCACTGAAGGACCAATGGGATGAACTAGAAGAGGTAAATGGGCCCCACTGTGTGCTGGGAGGGGTGGGTCAGGAGCCTCTGCTGGAAGCCCATCGGCCCCTGCACATGGAAGAGCTCTTGGGCCACCAGGAGTCGGGCAGTGGCAATAGACCCCGTGTATAATAGCTCACAGATACACGAGAGCTTGTGGGGACAGTTTCATCATACAACTGTGTTTTCATCGTATAACTTTTCCTTTCTGGCCAGTTGGGAGTCAGTGACATGAAGCTGGGGGATGATGGTCCACCGGAAATGACAGAGGACCGCTACAGCATGCCTCTCATCATCACTATCGTCTGCATGGCATCCTTCTTGCTCCTCGTTGCAGCCCTCTATGGCTGCTGCCACCAGCGCTTCTCCCAGAGGAAGGATCAGGTGGGCTCTTCCTTCTCCAGCTGGGGCAGCAGTCATTCTGTCACTCCATAGTCCAACAGGGGAAAGTGGGTGGACCAGGGCCTTTCTGGCAGGCAGAACCACCCTGTCACTTTTCCATTGCTAGTACAAAGATACCTGGCATACACAACTTGAAGAAGAGGTTTAGTAGTTTGGCTCAGGTTTCAGAGCTTCCAGTCCATGGTTGGCTGGCTCCATGGGAGAAACAACATGGTAGAAGGGTGTGGTGGAGCAAAGCTGCTCAACTCATGGCAGCCCGGAAGCCAAAGAGCAAGGAAGATCCATAGAGAGATACACTATTTGAAGGTATGCCCCACGACCTACTTCCTCCAACCAGTCCTCATCTCCTAATAGCCCATTTAGCTATGAACTCATCAATAGGTTAATCTATTGATTAAGTTAGTGCACTTCCAATCCAGTCACCTTCCAAAAACCCCACTTGTGAACACATGAGAACTTTGGGAATATTTTTGATCCAAACCTCCAACTCTGTCTTTTTTGGCAGCCACCTGCTGCCGGGGTCATCAAAGAGGATACATTTCTAGAAGGAAGAGAGGGGCTTTGGAGCAGAAAGACAGGGCTTAAGCCCTGCCTCTACCCTTGTTAAATCTCTGAGCTTCTCACCTGCAGAAGGGGGATAATGGCCACCTTGCAGAGCTTTCCTGGCAAGCCCTGGATATAAATGGCCCTGTGTGTGCCTGTCTAATCAAAACCTTTCACCTGCCTTACTAGAACTCCCATCTTGACAGTTCCACCCAGATCCCTGGTTCTCAACCCTGGCTGCGCACTAGCAGGAGCTGTAAGAACATTCCCATGCCTAGCTTCCTCACTCGCCAACGGGAACCCGATCTCTGGATCAGTGTATGTGTTAAAAGCCTGCCCGGTGATCCTAACATGCAAGCAAGGTTGAATCTCAGAGAATGCACCACTGTCCAATGGGTGCCACCTCCAGCAGGAATGGCTATGGGGACTCCCATTCCAACCTTGCCCAGACTTGGAGAGGTCCTCAGTGACTCAACCTGAGGGATGTCATTTTCTCACAAGTCTTGCCCATTCCCATACTATGGAGTGAGGTAGGAAGAGATAAGAAAGAGCTGGGAGGATTTGAGAGAACAAAGTCCATCTCCACAGATGGCACAGATTTGTCTTCTGGAAAAAAGAAAAAAAGAAAAAAGATTTGTCTTCTGGGTAAATGCAAGATGAGTTGGGAATTTTAGGAGGAAGGGCAAGTCTTTGTGTGAGGCAGGCAGGCCAGTAGCCAGAGTGGCCACCAGGAGCAGCCAATCTCCCACACCCGAACAATTAAGTGCTTGCTGTAGCCAAATTGAGGCCCCTGGATTGAAAGGGGGGCTACATGTAGTAAGACTTTAAGGCTCACAGCTCTCCAAAATTACCTTTTTGTCCTTGGTCATCTTCCGAAATCTAGCAACGACTTACTGAGGAGCTACAGACAGTGGAAAATGGTTACCATGACAACCCAACCCTGGAAGTGATGGAGACCTCTTCCGAGATGCAGGAGAAGAAGGTGGTCAACCTTAATGGGGAGCTTGGGGACAGTTGGATCGTCCCTCTGGACAACCTGACCAAGGATGACCTAGATGAGGAGGAAGACACACACCTCTAGTCGGGTCTATTGGCTGCCCCTGTCAGCGCCACAGAGCTGCAGACTGACCACCCGAAGTGCCATTTGGGCTGGAGAGGAAAATGCCTCCCCATCCGAGGAGGGCAAGACTGGGGAGGGAGTGGACTCTTGAGGGTTACTTCCTCTCAACTCCCCCAGGGCCTTAATTTTTTCCCTTCTCAAGATGAACAAATCACATTCTGTTTAGATTCTTCTCATAAAATAACCCACTAGTGCCTGAGCTCAGAGCTGCTGGAAGATGAGCAGAAGGAAGATGGAGAAAGAGCCATGGAAGGGACTTTTGAGATCCTCTAGTAGAATCCTTCACTTTGTAGGTGAGATGACTGAGGCCTAAGGAGGGCAGCTGGCTGCACAAGGTCACACAGCTACTTGATGACAGATTCCTCCCTTCAGTCCAGTGCTCATTTGGACCAAGTCACACTGCTGTGTTCACTTGCACCCTCTCCTCAGAGCTTCCTTGGCTGGGCAGGGGATGACACTACAGTAAGGGCGGGGCGGGGGGGGGGCTTGGAAAGGAAAGCAGGCCCGTACCGTTTCAGGGGATCTGACTTGCGCAAAAGGACAAGTCTCAAGCTTCTGTCTCCTACCCCAGTCCTGTCTGCCAGAACTCTCTTCCCCTTTCCTTTTACAAACTCTTTCACTCAATTTTTAGTCCCACAGGTCATTCATGATCTTGAACCCCTTGCTCTGGATTCTGATCTCCTTGCTTAACGAGGTCAGGACCTCCTCTTCCTCCAGAGTGAATGAGATCTGCAGAAGGGACTGGTAGGTGGGTAGGGAGAGAAGGGGAGCATCTCAACCCAGGATGGCCTCCCCAAGGCAGCTGATTCGGGCTTAGCCCTCACACTGGCCCTTCCCCCAAGACTCCTTGAAGATGCCCCCCAAGATCTCCTTTGACCCTCTGCTCTCAGATTTCAGGGACTGAAATCTGCAGTAGTAACTGAAAGCAAAATGTTTCTCTTGTTCACTGCTAGCTAATGGGATGGATCCCTGAGCCCCAGGTTTCAAGAGTAGTTGTCACAGGACAGTCTTGTCCCAGGGGCCCTGATTGGCAGAGATGTGTTTCAGTAGACAATCAGTTGAAACTGCTGGAAGACAAGAGTTACTCTCTTTTTCATAGGAAACTCAGGGACTTTTCAAGTTACTGAGAGTTTTGTTGTATATGTTTGGGTTTTTTATTGTTTGTTTTTAATGTAGCCCCCCACTACCAAAGGTCAGAGCTCATACTACTGAAGACTTTCAGTCAGTCTCACTGATTACGATTCTCCTATGCCATAGAGAATGGTCCAATTACATGCAGTAAATTTTAAAATCTCTAATTTCCCACTGACCTAGGTAGGCCTTAATGGTTCCTCTTACCTGTGTTCCTGGTGGAGCCTCAGCAGCTCTGCTGTTTCTGGTGGCATCTCAGGGAAACACAAAGCCATGTTTATTCCCCAACATGGTTTTTATAGGCTCAGAAGTTAGCTACCTGTAGGAAGCTCCTGGCGGCTAGACATAGTGAAGGTTCATCTCAGCTTCTGAGAAGGGGGGATCTTGCATGCAATTTTGAACTTTTGGCCATGGTCTGTATTGTTCTGGGAGCATAAATTCCCTCGAACCAACTATCTCCTTTGACAAAATTTAATTAACAAAAGGTAGGAGGAGCTATGGAGAAGACCTTTGTCCTTCCCTGGCTGCCTGATTCCTTCTTTACAGTCTGTAGCTTTTTGATACCACAGGGGAAAAGGACAGTCAGAGAATCAAGGGGGCCACCTAGCAAGTTCTCAAGAGTTAGATGCTCTGTTGACAAACATCTGCCCTGTTTCTCTAGCATTTAGGGGTGGGGCAGGAAGGAAAACAGTGGCAGGTTAAGGAGAAATACAGGAAATATTTTTATTCTGGAAAGAGGTCTGCTTGCTTCCTTCCTGCTCACCACTGAGTTCTGTGTACCCAGTGAGTTTGTCATGCCATCTCTGTGAAAGGCTAGATTATTGTTCCTTTGGAGATTCTGGGTCACATTGACCAGCTAGGGCATTTGACAGAGATAGCAAATAATTGCTTCTGCAAAATGATCAGACATTGCAACCCCAAGGGCTCTCTAGAGATGATGACTGCAAGCATTAAGAAACAGAAATGATGGTCAGGAAGAATCTCCGTGGCTCCATCCAAGAAGAAGCTGGGGAGGCTTGGAGCTGATCCAGAGGTTCCTTCTTTCTTTGCATCCAAGCTGTGCTGCCTTTTAGCACAACTTCAGAATATGATACCAGGTCTTGGCTTGCTCTTACTGCTGAACCATCGGTGTCAATAGACCACACTGGTACCATCTGTAAGTCATCTTCTTCCCATGTCTTTATTGGATTCTCTGTGCTATCTAGTAATTCTGATTGTGGGGCCAGGAAGAGTTAAGAGGAACACCAGGGGCTCAGCTTGGCAAGACTTCAAACCAGTTGTACCAAAGAGAAGTTAGGGGCTCTTTATTTTAGTAACAAACTGTGGTTTCCCCAAGGTGTAAAAACCATGAATCGGGGTCCCAAAAGCTACAAAAACCATGGGTCTGATGATTTTGACTGGATGTAACCTAGTGGGCCCTGAGCTGTCATGTGAGCAGGGAGAGAAACTGCTGTGCTTATAGAAGTATGGAAGAACATGCATCTTAGGACGATAGGGGTTAATCTAGAGACACTAGATTTACCCTTTCTTGATAAGGAAAATGAGCAGGTTTATTTAAACTACTTTTTGAATTTATCCTTTTTTTGGCAATATACTGGAGAAACTTTGAAGAACAAATTCAAAGTGATGTATGTTTTCACAATGTAAATACAAGAGCCACATGTTAATCTATTCTGCACTGCTTTAAGTGAATATACTTTGAAAAAAGAAAACATTGAGTTATTTTTCCCCTCTGAACAAGAATGTAAATGTCTATTTTACTAGAAACAAGTTGTTGTTGTTGTTGTTGTTGTTTTCATGAAATACAAGAAGATGGGCTGGTGACAAAGTATTTGCTTTGCAGATTAGGCATTTTTTATTTTCAAATTATCCTTGCTCCTCCCCAGCCAAGTTCCAGCCATACCAGGAAAGGTCAGAGTTGGTGAGTTGGTTGGAAAGTGAGACAGATGTAGAGATCTAATTTAATCTTTTTCTACAGAAAAAGAACCTGAAGCCCATAAAAGTAAAGTGACTTGGCTGAAATGACACAGTCAGTGACAGAAACAGGATTAAAACCTGGTCCCACCAACTGTCCCATGCTATGGTCCTCCAAAGAATCAGGAAACTAAATTCTGCCACTCACAGGCACCAACCAGGATGACACAGAAGATGCCATTCCTTCCCAAGAGTTACACCAGCAAGGCCAGGGAGGACTCCAAGACAGAAACAGGGATGCCACTGGTCTTTTACACTTCCTGAGTCATTTAGGTCTAAATTGTAAATTAGTATCTTTTCTGCCAGGAAATAATTTGAACAAGTTTTTGCTTCTGGAACTTCTAGCAGACTAAGGATCAAAGGGAACAAGATAGGAGAGGGCAGAGGTCAAGAGTAAAACTGTAGCCTAGCTGTTTTCATTGTCACTAGCAGATTCCCTCAGGTCTGCTGACACTCAACACCAGGTGAAAGGAAGGGATTACTATTTCATGGTGGTGGTGGTGAGGTGTTATTGAATGTTAAACAGTTTGCCCAGGAGACTAGGGGAGCATGTCTTAGTGGACAGGGGTCTGAAGTACACTGGAATTTATTGAGAAACTTGTTTGTAAAGACTATAGTTAATTATTGCATTTTCTTACAAAAATATATTTTGGGAAATCGTACACTGTCAATTAAAATGCTATTGTGTAAACTGGTTCAAGTCCTAGTAATTTGCTCCAAATTGCTCAAATTCTTTTGGCTTCTTCACCTGTGTAGTCTTCACTAAACATCCAAAGAAGGTCAGCAATGCCCCAAACTCCATGTGTGAGGCATGCTGTTCTCTTCGTAATACCTGCTGACCTACATATATCATAAGGAGGAGGGGAGAGGCCCAAAGAAAGAAGTTGCGGGGAGGATCCTGGAGGTGCTGACAGTTCTCCACATTACAGCAGGATGCCCTAGGCCCACAGTGGTGGTGAACCTATGGCACATGTACTGCAACTGGCTGCCATCACTGCCCTAGGGAATATAATCACGAGGACTTCTTTTCTTCCCAAGATGATGTTTTATAAGTGTTTCATGATCTTCCTCTGCTCTACTTCTGGTTCCAACATATCTGTGAGTCACCACCACCAAAGACTCCACAGGGGCTGCTGAGCCCTGATCAGGTATGAAAACACTGGCCAAGAAATACACACATAAAAATATAAAAAGCAGAAATGCTCTGTGCTGGACATTTATGCCCATAAAAGGATCTATCTACTTGTCACAAGAGGCTTTCTGCCTGTCTTTTGTACATACTGCAGGTTCAGCTCGGAGACGATTCGATCCTTTTCATCTCCTGGGGTGGTAGTATTTACAGCTGCATGTTAACTCCATTCTTCCCAGCTTGCAGGAGGAAAGGAAAACACTGACTTGGAGATCTGGCTCATACTGGTAGTTGCTAGACAAAAGTCTCTTTTATTTGGCCCCACCTTACAGTTTGCAAAGCATGTTCACATAGTTTATAGGAAGATGTTACCTCTTACAAAGGAAACTAGGTGCAATCTCTGCATTTATGCAGCCATTTAATGGTAGCCTTAGTCCTTGACTCCAACTTTTCTCTATGCAGTTCTACATTGTTTTCTGTACCTTCATGCTCGAGATTCAACCATAAAATTAATTTCTAGGATGTAGTTAACCATATAATTTTGATTTCATCTGGGAGTTTTGAAAGGCACCTAATACCTAGAAGAGTAGGTCAGAGTTGGGCCCATATATTTTGAGATTAACTTCTCAAAGTGTACCAAGAATTCAGAAAAGAGTCCACATGCCAAGAACTCTTGCAGGACCCTGGCCCTGCTCAGGCACTTTTCTAAGAATGACTCACAGTTTATCTCAGGCCAACAAATTAAATCTAACTGTTCTCTTCCTGTGTAGGTCACTGGCCCTGTTCTTTGCCCTGCTAACCAAGCGATTCTCCTGGTTGGTATTTTAAACATTATGCCTCTTATTATCATTCAAAACCTCCCCATTCTATACATTCCCTCCCAAATCACTTGCTACTTCTATACACTGAGGGAAAAAAATAAATAGGACTGGCTATGCTAAATGAACACTAGCGATAAATACTGCGATTGCATTTTTCAAAGATCTTGGCGTTTTGTAGATTAGCAAACAGGACCTGTTGCCAACATTTACTTGCAGAGTTAAGATGGCCCAAGGCTACACAGAAGTTGGTGGATATGCAGATAAAAATCAGGATTCCAGGCTCTAGGACTGCCCAGACTATTGTCCAAGTTCAGAGGGCAGCTGTACAAGGAGTGCTACGTACGCTGCCAAGTGTCCTCATCTCCCCTTTTGGGGAGCCATCAAAACTTACTAGCACAGCACACACTAGGACAGGCCACTTTCAGCTAAGTTTTTCCTCTCTTAGGGTGTCTCTGGAAGGACAACCAACTGCCCAGCAGGATGACAGTCTCCTATGATATCAGAGAAGCTGAGGATCAGGAATAGTTGGATAACTCTTAAGTATTATGGTCTGCTGTCCCTTTCCTTATGTCACAAAAAATCTAGACTGTCTTCCTTTTCTCCTTCCAGGATACCCAGCAGGCAAAGGAGAAAATATCATTACATAGTATCTTAACTTGTACAGAACCAGCACAGGGCTCTGGAGAGCCACCAGTTGGTCTTATCAGTCACAGATCTGCAGAATCTGAAGGGTTAGTGCTCAAGAATGTGGCCTTCTCCAGGGACAGTACTGTTTTCCAATTTCTGTGAAATTTAGAAATTATGTGAGCTTGAGCATGGCCATAAAGTAGCAACTTAAATCTTTGTGGGTCTCCACACTCGCTCCAGTAAGCAGCCTGCATCACAACCAAGCCTTCTTTGCTTACCGCTATCTTCTGGCCAGAAGATAATGACAAACACGTCAAATGTAGAGTCCCATGTTTTGGTATCTTTGAGTTAATTCTCTAGGGATTAATCAAGGAAAGGCCAATTCCTTACCTTATCACTGAACCTCAGGTTTGTTTTCCTGTTTTAAGAACACAAAGAAATGTCATTTCTGAGCTTTGACCCACACTTGAAGCTCAGAAATGAAAGCTTTCTGAGTGCACTTTAGAAATGAAAGCTGTGCAGTAAGATATGGACTATGTGGTTTATAAAATAAGAAAACATAGGCCCTGTTTTGAATAAATAAGTGACAACTCACCCCAGAATCCAGGATCACAAAGCCAAGAACAAGTGAAGCAGATGAGGGGAGACAAGGGCTGAGTAATCTTCATGTCCACCTGGACAGTGAACACAACACGCTCTCATTCCCTGCCTTTACTTGGCAGACTTCTGAGTTCGATTTTTTTTTTATGGTCAGGCCCTTAAGAGTTTTTTCTTCTTCACTGGGGACAGGAACCCAGAATTTTTGCAAAGTCAATACTTCCAGATTCTCTCCTTGTACTATCTTTTCTACAACTTTCTATTTCAGTCCAGTGTTTCCTTCTAGTTCCTAACTGGCACAAGTATGTACCCCTTAAAGAAAAATTGTGACACGTGTAATTTCACAAAACAGATAAAATAAGACTGGTTGTTAATAGCAGATAGAAAAGCATTTCGTGAAATAATTTGTCAGTGTTCATCTAAAATGAAAACTCCAGGAGCTCTGTGAGATCCATATTACTTCCTCGAGCACTGTCTCAGAAGAAAACATCTGGGCCAGGGATTTAGCTCAGTGGTGCCACCACCTGCCTCACAAGCACAAGGTTCCGAGTTTGATCCCTGGTACCAAAAAAGAAAACATTTGGGGAAATCTGAATAAAACTAACTTTTTGAGGAAGAAGTATAAAGTGCATAAACACCCAAAAAGCTGATTTCAAAGTAGCTTTGGCAAACACAAGACATTCTGTAGTGTCTATATATAATTTTTTATTAAGAAAATGAACAAAATACATTCTTTCTCCATATGTACATTACATACAACATAATTCTACAACTGCAATTGTCCAGCAGATCACTCATTATTTATTCACAAGATAACATATGTACCAAACCTGGGATCAGAAAATTACTTGTACTAAAGAAGAAAAATCCTAAAAAATCCATATGGATTGGACAAAAGGCAAATCAGAGGATCTGAGAGGGATGACTCCAGATAAAACTCAGCCTAACAGTAACCTAAAACAATGATGTTGAAAGAGATCCAAGACCTGCTACCCAAAGAGCACTCTGTTTAAATGCTCCACCTAGTTTTCCAGTGGGCCATTTCTGACTCAAGTACTTCAGGACACAGTTTAGGCCCACAACACCACACAAGAGCGGGTAAAGGAAAGAAGAGAACTAATAAGGTGTTTTTTCTTTTCCACATCCTAAGAGAAGGAGTCTCATGTGAGATATTACTGGGGTGCAAACTTCTGAATCTTAGCTGGTATTTATGGAAAAACAAGGTTTTTTTTGAGACATTTACTTAAGTATGATAAGGAATTCTTATTTCACAGACTAAGCCTTACATTTATGTTCATTTGACAATTTCTTTTGCTGTGCTTTGAGCCTTAGAAAAGTTAGCTCATTCTCTTAGTGTGGGTTTAATTATGGCCTTATAAAAAAGTGCATCACAAAAAGTGGCTCCTCATCAATATGCTTCATACATAGTGGTGCCTAATGAGCTTTAAAATTCCAGTGAGTTTTAGGGGTGAAATTTTCAATGACTTGAACAAGTCAGCTCTCCACAGCTGCTGGTTACCATCTTATATCTGTTGTTCAGGCTTAAAGACACTTATCAACAGAATTATTTTTAGACTGTCTAGAAAAGGGTAATGCTTAAGGAATATAAGGTTGGGGACGTACAATTGCAACCTGGTCTTTCCTACATATAAAGTGGTAGGAGAAAATGAGAAAAGGTCTAATAACTTTTTTTGCTTTTTTAACCTTTTCTGATCTTTACCATTTTTGCTGAGAGGTTAGGAAAAAGAAAATGAAGAGGTATCATCAACAAGAGCTTTCCTTCTTTACATTTAGTAAGTTCCTATTTTTCTGGGAAAGGCAAAGACCCATAAAGGATAATAACACTTTCCAACCTTAAAGTGAGCCGATGCTATTAGCACATTTCCAGCCCAGGAGCTGCCCTCAGAAGGCAGCAGCTCTCCGCAGTGCTGAGGAGCAGGCCTGGAAAGACAAGGTTCTGCTGGCTATGGGTAAAGCTGTATTGTTCTTCTCAATCTAATTTCCAGTCCAACTTTGGTTTTAAAGATCTTTCTCTAACAAAGGGATCTTAATTTCTGGCCACCAAGTACTTCTAATTTATGAGTTAACTTTTTAAAAATTCTAACATCTTTCCCACGCTGCTTATAAATATGTCACTTTGGAAATATGGAACATTCAGTCTACCGGCAAGAATAAGATAAGAAAAAGAGGTTCTCAACTTAGGTTTCCTGTACTATTCGTCTGAGGCTGAAGACTGTACGTTTGGAGTGGTGGTAAGGGAAGCAATTTATTAGAAGGAAAATTAAAAAAAAAAAATATATATATATATATATATATATTTTTTTTTTCCACAAAGAAGTCTGCTCACAGAATTATGCAATCTCAATTGAGCTGAAGGCTTCATTTATATAAAGGACAATTAATACTATACAATCTAATTTATTTCAAAAGACATTTAACAGAAGTTAAAAAGGTAGGCTGGCTTAATGAGTAACAGAATGAGCATCTCTTGCCCAGGCTTAATAGAAATAGAAATCCATTTTTATGTTTCTAAATAAATGGCTTACAATTGAGGAAGAAAATAGTTTATAACTGGTCAGTCAAGATCATTTTTTTGAGAAAAAAATCTGAAGGAGATTACATAATTTTTTAAAAAGTATGTCTTCCCTTATAGAAGACTACTTATATTTAACCTAATATTTTTGACTCTGACATACTATTAATCAAATCTGGAGCTGGGCTGACATTACTCTGTTGTGTCTTACATCTTTGTATTCAGTGCTTTTACAAGCAAAGCTAACATGTACAGTATATGTAAAATTAAGCTAAGCTTTACAAAGATAGAAATACCTTAGGACTCCCAAAACAGGTAATTAACAATGCAAAGCCACACATTTCTGTCCTCAGTGTTCCCCTTTGCATTTCAAGAAGGTAAATACAAGGGTGGGTGTGTAGCTCAGCAGTACAGTGCTTGTCTAGCCATGTGCAAGGATCCCCAATACCACAAATAAGGAAACAGAAGTAAATCCAGCACTAAAAAGCAACATGCTACATGGTCATTTGGAAATAAGGGCTAGCATAGCTCTCTGTTATGGCAATTCAATTTGTAAAGCTTTGCCAGTTGTAATGAAATTGGGGCTTATTCTACATACCATCTCTAATTTAATCCATCACTTTACAAATGAGGAGAAAACCTAAAGAATAAGCCAAAATTATTACATATCTCTAACATCTAGGACTCATGGACTTCTTGGCAAAGCAGAATAGAGAAATCTCTGGTATTGTATATATGATTAACTTATTTTAAGGCATGAAAACTAATGTAAGTTCAATTCTGTATGGATTATAAGTTTTATATGAAATGGAAATTTTCTTCCTATTTAACTTTTTGAGACAGGGTCTCACTAAGTATTTTAGGCTGGCCTTGAACTTATTATGTAGTCCAGGCTAGCCTCAAACTCGCAGCAATCCTCTTGCCTCAGTCTCCCACATGCTGGGACTACAGGAGTTTGCCACCACACTTAGCCTTTCTTCCTATTTTAAAGGGCTAGTAAATGAAAACCAATCCAACGGCACTAGTAAAACTTTAAGAAAGACTTTTTTGAGATTTGCTAGTAAGAGAGAGAGAGAGAAAGCTCAAAACTGACCACATTGCAATTCCTTAATTATGTACATGGGCCTGTTCCATATATCACACACACAACGTTTCTCCTCCCTGGCCATTAATTTTGCATTCATTAAGTAGTGAATGAAACTGAACAAGGGTGATCTCCTGAGACTGGCAACCTAGAATATCCAGAGCTATCTAAGTGAGTCCTCTGGGAGCCAAATAACTGCATGTGAAAATGTTTTATTGTTGATTTTCACTTTGCACTTATCAAGGAACTAGATCTACAAAAAAAGCTGCTTACCTATTTGAGATCTAGAGTTGATTATATAAGGTTTTCTGTTTTAAAGTCTCTTACAACTACTAGAAGAGAAATGCATTCCAAAGACTAACCCGAATATTCTAGAAAATTAAACTTTGATCCTTTTTTGGGAGTCTTTTTCCTGTGCTGCATAAATAAAATTATTCAGGGTTAAAAAATGAAGAGCTTTCTGTTTCATTTAGATTTATGAACTGTCAAATCCATAAGCCAAAAGTTTCCATTATTCTTTTCCCAACATATTCCCAATCTCCCTTCTAGATTTGTTCCTGAGGTTCAATACTTCCAAGTCAAAATGCCTTAGATAGGCAAAACAGGACACTGCACACAAGTGTGTAATAGTTCACCAAGGCTGTATGAAGAGCAGATAAACAAAAGACATAAGATTCATAATTTTAAGTGATTTCGTAGAACTAGTCTCCTTCCCTATCAAACACCCCGCTTAGCTCCCTGCCATCTTTTTTCTTGTTGACGTCGTAGTGCTCAGGTAATATCCACAAAAAATTCAAGGAAGATTGGCAGCGTTTGGGGACATGAGTGTATATAAGCAAACTTAATTTCCAAATAACAATTGTAAAATAGAAGATAAACTACTTTGCTTTTTGTGCTAAGTTGTGAATTGGGAACCAGTTCAAGATTTGACAGAAAAAGACAAGTGATAGTTTCCCAAAAGGGCATTTCTCTCTGTGACACTAGAAAATCTAATTTACTGTAACCTCTAATGACTCCTTAGGTTAAGGGCTATGAAAGCTACTGTTGGGTGATTTTATCACTGGTTGTATAACTGAGAATGAGATTTAGTTATTCAGAATTAGGTCTAGTCATATTCTTGAGGGGAAGAGACACTCATATACTTGTTTTTATTTAAGGAAAAAAACCAATCATTTCATAGTCACTAATGAAAGCTATTCTTAATATTCAACTATATCAGAAATTGAAAGCCAATTCTTAATATAAATCCCAACATCAGCAGAAAATCAATGCTATTTATGGGAAGTAGGAACAGAAAAAAAAGGCTAAAAACAATAAAAAGACAATAGGCAAATGGAAATTCTGGAGTTATACTGAATTTTCCATGAGCTCTCTTTATGACAATTAATTCCCAGTGCCAGGAAAAGAAACCATCACAGGCTCCTTTATTAAAGCTGCCGCAGCCATTATAACTATCTCCAAATAAAAATGATGCATACGTTTTTATAGCAATATCTAAATGTTATTCAATAACATATAATTTTTAATTTCACTATTATTGCTTGTCATAAACAGGGATGATGACCATGTTTGCTTAAGAATGATTCTGACCTGATTTTTTTTCAAGCAGTAAAATGGTCCTAAGCAATGCTACAGAAAGTCAATGAAGTCTGGGGCTAAAAAAAGTCAAGAATAGCCGGGCCTGATGGCGCATGCCTGTAATCCCAGTACTCAGGAGGCTGAGGCAGGAGGATCGCCACAAGTTTGAGGCCTGCCTGGACTACACAGTGAGTTCAAGCCAGCCTGAACCACACAGTGAGACCGTCTCAAAAAAATGAAATGAAGGGCCGGGGATTTAGCTCAGTGGTTCTGGCACCTGCCTCACAAGCACAAGGTCCCAAGTTCAATCCCCAGTAACAAAAAAAGTAAATAAAAAGAAATTAAAAATAAAAAAAGTTAGCTAAGAAAAATAAATGGAAACACAATTCACAGTATTTGGAGAACTCAAGGTTAAAAAGTCATATATAAATAAAATCTCTGAGATAGCATTTATTGAGGAAAAACAAAATGAGCATTTGGTAAAGAAATTAAGAAACAGCAATGAGTTATAAAACAAAACTGTGGCAATGTTATTCAGATGAGCTAGTCAGTTCCATGTGATTTCAACAAACTTGGAAACCCCAACCTTCAACTGACATACCTCTAGACTAGAAGATTTGGATAACAAAGTCATTTTAACATTAAGACAAATCACATGGGAGATATAAGCCACAGTCAAAAGCCACAAAAGAATAATACATGGAAAACAAAAATCTTTGCATTAGAGAGCCCAAAAACATACAAGTATGATCACATACAGACCTCTAAGATACTCCAACAACAACCAGAGACTTTTTCTGAGGCCAGTCAGCACATCTTAAGAGCAAGGACTAGTTAAAACTTAGTGAAAATTCAGTCAAGAATTACTGCAAAGGAATGAGATTGTGGATGAATAAGGATTTTTCAGAAAATAGGTGTTAAGGAAGGGCATATTTTGAATAGCTACATGTCTGTTTACACTGTTACATACTGTAATGGTCCTTCCCACAGAAATTACCTCAAACTGTAGTTTTCAACTGTTTATACAACACTCAACCAGCTAAGGACTTCATGCAACTTTCATTCATAAAATAATCAAATGACCCACAATTACCCAATGAAGTCCATGCCATGTTAAGAACAATTTAAAAGTAATTTCTCTGTATAATTACCATGAAACTGAGTACAACTTTTTGATCCATTAAGCATCATTCTTACTCTCCCACTAAATGCTACGATTTGTAAGTTTGTAGTTGTTGGTTAGATTTTAAAATCCTTTTTTATTAAGTGAAACTCTGTTAAGATGGAGCTCTAAATATCACTTTTAAGGCAGATGTGAAAAGACCCACTGGAATGAAAAGCTGCCAACCATGTATATACAATATGTATATTTCACTCAAGAGTGCATTTTATAAGCTTAAATCACTAAGGCCTAAATTTGATTGGATTTTCTAGGACAAACCAGTAACTTAAACTTCTCAAGTTTCCTATTAGTTTTTATTAGGCATGGACAGGTCAGTTTTAGTATAAATGGAAAACTACATCTAAAAAAGATGACCCTGGTAAAGGTTAATGTTGTCTTGTCAGCTTTAGCACAGAGGTAGCTACCCAACTCTGAATTCCTTTGCTTGAATAAGACAGTGATATACTCTGAATTAATCAATCTGGTCATGCAAGGTCTCTGTCATTTCAAAAAATAAAATGCAAATGCACTTGAGAGGTGACTTGCAAATCAAATCATTTCTCATGAAATACAAGCCCTGAAAATAGTATTTGAGATCTAGTTTATTTCTGGTTGAAAGTAATATATTCCATTGGGAAAAAGACATGGGAATGAGGCTGAAGCTCCAAATAAACTAAGCAAATTGTATCTCACTAATTAATGTGTCTAAAGCATCATCGAGGTTTTTCAATTTGGGACCAAGCCAAAATGAACAAATTTTTAAGTAGTAATGGACATATACAGTGGTACCCTGGTTGACAAACTTGTTTTATGATTTTGGGGAAGATGGCTGAATTTGTGTGTGGAGAAGATGGGCATAGTCGTGTTTGTCACCCAATGTGAAGTTTCCAAATGAAAGTAAAATTTTGCCTAACACTTTTGTCTGCAAAGTGAATTGTCTGCAAATAGAGAAGTTCATAAACAGAGGTATTATTATATTTAGCTACCTAAATACCAATATAATGCTAGAATTCTTGGAACTATATGTAGCTTCTCACTAAATACATAAATTTCAACTAAGCGCTCTGATGTGAAATGTGAGCAATGTGTCAATCTTGGCTATGAACGTAGGGAGCCCAACATTCTCTGCAGTCAATCCTGGCAATGCCCATCAAGCCCCCAAGGTACAGATTCTGACTTAGTCAGTTACCTTCTCAGTGACTCTATATCACTTAGGCACAGTAAGTGTTCACTATGATGCAAACCTATTTAAACATGGTAGTGGAAAAAAAATTCCACCAAAATAAAAGGATAAATTAAAACAGGCATATGTTTAAAAAAAAAACACTAGCAGAGAAAATCAGTTAGGAAAAAACAAAATCACTGAAGTCAGAAACTGAATTTCCTCTAAATAATATGACTGATGAAAAATTACAAAGAAATCACTGTAAGAATAAATGGTGAAAGGCTGCAGAATTTCATTTGGTTAATGTTTTTAAAGTGCCAAAATTCATAGTAACCAAATTGGAGCTTTTAAATTTTGATAGTCTTGCCAAGTTTAAGTTTTTCCCTGTCAACATTCTGATTTGCATCTGTCTCCATAAAATAAAATCCAACAGGCTATAATATTAGTGATATTAATATTTTATGTTCTTGGCTGTCAATCAGAAGAATCATTTTACAAAACTGTACAAGTCTGCAAATAGAATGAATTTATCCAACTGTGTAATCAATTGGTTACTATGCATCTATACAATTTGGTACTGGCTGAATTGTGTAATATATTTTTCACAAGATAAGGTACAGATCTAAAGGTTTAACAAATCACTATTAATTGCTTTGGGATGCTTGGAAAGTCAAGAAGCCCACGCACGACATAAGCCAGGAACTAGCAAAAAAATAGTCTGTCCATTCCCAAAAGAAGAAAAACCATGTAATAAAGAGAGTGAAAAGACATCTCAAAAATCTCATTCCTATATATCACACTTTTTGAAAGTGCACATCAATTTCTTCTCTCTGGTGAGGCTTAATCTTACTACTCGGGAATATACTCAATCATGAAATCATTCACTCTTAATAGCTGACAGATGCACATTACACTGAGTTTGCCATTAGCATGGTGGGTGTCATCAGCACACCTTTTGAGCACATGTAAACACTAGTCAGATCTAGGTTTCTCATATTACATTCTACAGCATCTCACTAGAAGATACATACCTCCACTTCTACACAAAAATGGAACCATGGAAAAGCCCATCTATTATACCTATTTCATAAAAAAATTTGTACCTTTAGTTTTTTTCAGCATTTAAAAAAGGTTGGTCCATGTGCTCAATGACATGTCTGTCAGTTGTAGACCAATGGATAATCACAAATCATTACTCTTCAACATACTGATATTTAGAAGTAGATAGAAGGAGATGTACAGAAAGAATGAATGCACAAGTATGAACCTCCCCTTCACCTCCCATGTGCCTCCAAATGAACTGCTAAAAAGAGATGGCACACAGGAGAAATGAGAGCCCTGGTTTTGAACAGCTCTACCAGAGGAGTCATTTTCTTTCAGAATTACTACAAAGATATCAACAAATATATTAATCACTACTGGATCTTTCCTGGTGGCCATTTTTAGAATGGCTCTTCTTAGTTTGTTTCTGTAACTGAAAGCCAAATGCTACTGTAATACCTACTATAAAATATAACATGAAACATTATACACCACCAATCTCTGATAGGGTGACTTGGTTAATCTTAAATTTCATTTTTTAGTTCTATGGCAATAGGTGCAAATTTGAGCCCTCTAACCTGTCTATTGTTTAATGTAATACAAGACAAATCAACCACATATATCACTTTAACATACATCAACTGTCCTACAGAACTATACACCTGTTAAGAATAAAGAAGTAAACTAGCGACACCACTTACAAGCAGCTGTATGATGTGAAGTAAAGTGAAAGGGATGAAAGAGAAAACAAAAGTCAAAACAACCCAACAATAAAACCCCAAATTCTTGTAGCACTGAGCCTGTTGGTAGTGCTGTTAAAAAGAAACAAAAAATTAGAAAAGGATAAATTGCTTAATTTTTTCTTTTATACTCACTCTTAAAAATTAAAGTAAGAAAAAATATATATTTAAATGGAAAGAATACCAATTTCACTTTATTAGCCTAATTTAGGAATAAGATGAGGAGAATGGGGTTGAGGTCAGGTATGAAGGAAGAGGGTTAAAACTTGTGACGGTAAAGATCCCTTCAAACACTTTGGTGCAGTCCTCAATCACTGCAGCTTCACTTCAGTCAAAAGAGTTGCAATCCAAACACTGAAAGTGACTCCTGTTCTCCACTTGTGTGCCCAGTGACTCTTCAGTTACAGAGTGATGAGGTCTACCAGGTTGCCTTTAGGAGGAGTCATGCTGTCAGGAAAGAAATTTACTAAGGTGTCAAAGAGCTGAGTTCTTTGAGCATAGGTGTGATCCACATCCGAAAAGCCTGGTGAAGAAGAGAGAACATACAAACTCATCCACTGTGTTTAAAACTCAACATGTAACAGAAAAGTTAGTTCAGAAAAGCAGCAATGTACAATGGAAAAAGCACTTCCTTTTCTTCAGCTGTACATCTATGACAATCTCGTTTATGTTATAAGATTATTGTGAGGATTAAATGCAATTATATGTAAAGTACCTAGCAAAAAGATTGGCACTTTAGTAACTAAGTAATATTGGTTTCTATTCCTTACAAAGGTCTTCCTCTGTTAGTCCATTAAAGAAATTTCAGTCCCTACGATGAGTGTTATCATTATGTATGCCTAAAATGTACCAATAAATGTTTTGGTATAAACAAATGAAAAAGAAGAGGCTTAAAAATCACTGAGGCTCTGAGAGCTGGAGGTACTATCAGAGAACTGAATAAAAATGTAGATAACTGAAAGAAACAAAACAAATAATATGTAGAATGGTGCCTGGCACATAGTAAATATCGTATGTTACACAGTACCATGTGGCAGGCTCTCTGCTTGGTATATATTATATAAGAATACAGAATGAACTACTTTTATTCAGAAAAATATTAGAAAGTGGATGACATTATTAAAAGGTTGGGACTGTTACTCTAAAGATATTCCTTCCTTAACCTCTAGTAAAAGTTTAATTTTCAAGTTCCTACCAGCCAATGCAACATTCAATGAGATGCCTCCTTCTTTCAGTCATCTGGTATATTGATCTCAGGTGCTTCAATTTTATATGCAAATGAGATATTTAAATGACAAAACATATGATTTTCCTGTTGCTGAAACGGCTGAGACATGTGAGCCCTGCGGCATGCCATCAGAAACAGAACTAGAGCCACAGCGTTATAGATGCCATAATGAGTCAATGAAAACTGCTTTAAATCAGACTGATTTCCATTCAACTTAGAATACAGTTTTAGGTCCAATCTGTTTTAATTTTGTAAAGAACAGGAATAGAATATAACACTGCCAAGGATACCAGTTTCCTGGAAGAAAATAAACAATGTCTCAAGAAGGGTACATTTCCTTTTTATTTTAAAAATTTTTACTGTTTTAAGTTTGAGGGGAAAATATTTCTTCCTTTGAGCTGAGCTTTTATCAAAGCCTACTATCATATCACAGAAATGAATAGAAGGAAATACTCTAAAAATATTAACAAAGCTTATCTCTGATTGGTGAGATTATAATCTTTTTTCTATATTATGCTTTTTGAATTTTCCAAATTGCTTTATTTTCAATTTTTTACTTGAAAACTTTCAAACCAACAGACAAGTTTCAAAATGAGTACAGTGAATACTCAGATTCTTCACTTAGATTCATCTGTTAACATTTTGCAGATATATTCTTATGTGTGTTTATAACCTACTCATAATAATTTTGTAAAACTACTTGAGAATAAATTCTTCCCCCTATAGTCTTGAGCACATTTCAGCTAAGAACAAGAACATCCACTTACACAACCACTATATACTAAATTCAGAGAATTTAACATTGATGTCCTAATAAATAATCATGTCTACAGTCATTTTTCTCACTAATTTAAAATCAAACCCAATCCAAGATTGTACATTCTATATAGTGTGCTCTTGAGGAGGGGGATACCAGGGACTGAACACAGGGCTGTGTGTATGCTAGGCAAGCACTCTACCACTGAGCTACATCCTTAGCCCTATATTTAGTGTTTGAGTCTCTTTAGTCTGAAATAGTTCCTCAGTCTCAGTGTCTTTTATGACACAGACTTTTTGAAGGGGGGGGTACCAAGGATCAAACTCAGGACCTTGCACTTGCAAAGCAGGCACGGTGCCACTAAGCTAAATCTCCGGCCCTTAACACAGGTATTTTTGAAGAGCACAGAGAAGTTATGAATAGAATGTTAAATTTGGGTTCTATGATTAGTTTTTCATGATCAGACGCAGTTTATGATGTTTTAGCCAGAATACCTCAGAAACGATTCTATATATCCTTCTCAGTGCATCAACTCAGAAGGCACGTGGTAATTTGTCCCAATACTGGTGATACTTTTATCAAATGTTTAAGTTGGTGTATGAAAAATTTCTCCAATGTAGGTTGTTCTTTTCCACTTTTTCATTAACTGGATGGGGAGATAGTTTGATATTGTATAAAATCTTGTTTCCCAATAGTAACGGTAACTGATGATTCTTGCTGAAACAATTATTATTTATATGGTGGTGATTTTCTAACTCTACAATTCCTTCTAAAGCTTTTAGTTGACATTTATTATGAAGAACATTTTTTCCCTCTTTCCATTTCACTTATTTATTTGGGTCAGTATATACTCCTAAATTCTTCTGTTGTTTAATGTTATACTTATTACTATCATCATTCATTTTGAGACTTCATATTGTTCCAGATTTGGCCTCTAGAGTTGGTTTCTGTGTCTTTCTGAAATACACTCATTGATTTTTGGTACACGCCTTTACCTTCTGATACAGGAAGATATCCAAGCTCATCATTGCACAGCTCTGGAGTCAGGCATTTCTCCAAAAATCCCTGATTCTTTTTTGCAGCAAATTATATTTAGAAACTCAAGATCAATTATACTAATTACCAAGGTGTCATAGTTTGTAGGCCTATACATTTTTTTAAAAATCATTAATTTATATTTTTATTGCTAATTCCATTTTTTAAAAAATCTCACAGGATTCTTCCTCTTTTATCCCATTCTAATTTCCTTTCTTCCAGTAAGAATACCTCCCAGCAACATTATAATATTTTACTCATTTGCTCAACTTAAAATACATATGAAAAGAATTCTAGAATTATTATACCTATACTACTACCAACAAAAACAAGATTTCTTTGCTTTTATGGTCCTTAGAATATACCGTGCTGATAGTACAGAGTTTAAGCATTGAAATAGAAAGATTTAGTTCTCTCACTTTTTTCCTACTGATGTTTCTTTATATATTTAACTCTAATAGTTTTTATCTTCTTTGTTTTATTATTTCGTACTGAATTTGCAAAAATGCAGGATATATATTTTTAAGAAAAGATAGTGATTCTATAACATATTCCAATGAAGTAATACCATTTTCATGAGATCAAATGACTTAAAAGGGAGGGACACAATTAGTTTCTATTATATGCAAGGTACTTCATGTATAAGGCATGATTGAAAACTACAGTGAATGTTTGAATTTTAAAAATTACAGTGAAAGACACACTGCCATTAAACCCCCTCAAAATACTCCCTCTTCCTTCAAAACATACTTATCACATCATTTCTTGCCACTTTCTGAAACAGTGCTAGACTTCTTTCATGAGTGTCTTAAGTTGCTCTAGGGTGGTTGAATCAATTAAAAATGTTTATCTTTTATGGTCATTTTGGCTTTGGTGAAGAACCACAAACAAATTGCATGGTTTTGGATCCTGTGAATCAGGTAAGTGGCAATATACTGTAATATTTTTACAAGCCCATCTTTCCATTGATGGCACTTGGCAGCAGCAATCACCAAATGTATTTTGTGTGTGTGTGTGGTACTGGGGATCGAACTCACGACCTTGTGCTTGTAAGGCAGGTGCAGTGGCACTGAGCTAAATCCCCGGCCCAATATATATTTTTTTAAATTATGCCTTATAAATGTACTCATGAAACAGGACTTCCAGAACTGTTTCACAAAGTAGTAAGAACAGTGAGCTAAGTGTGTTTGAAGTGAGGGAAAGTATTTTGAGGGGGATTAATAGCAATGTGTCTTTCATTGTAATAATTTTTAAAAATTTAAATACATACCATAGTTTTTGATCAATGCTTGTATGACCACACTACACTGCCACAAAATAGTAAATAAAATCCATTTTCAGATAACTTAAAGAGTTAGTAATTTAATAAGGTCTCACAATTGGTGAGGGAAGAGACAGAATGTGAACCCATGTTTGTGTCCAGAGCCCATCTATTTTTATTTACTGAGTGCTCAAATTACAGAGCAATGTGCTACGCCAATTTAACGCTCAGAAGTACATTTTATTTTTACTATTTACCAACAAGAAAACTGAAACTTATCCCAGCATTAGATGAATGGTTAAATTATGGTAGGTCCCTACTTTGGATCAATATGTAGCTATCATTTCAGTTAATATAAAAGATCTCATATAGTTTCATAGAAACAGTTTCAAGCCATATCACCCAAGGTTAAACTATGTGATGATCTATGCCTTCTTGTTTCAGTTTATACTAAATTTAACTGTACTTTCACATTCTGTTTAGGCCACATTTTTGTGTGTTTTAGTGACTTCACTATTTAAAATGGGCAAGAGTCTAGTGTTTCTAAGTGTAGGAAGGCCACGATGTGCTTTATAGAGCATTTTCATGATAAGCTTCATTCAGGCATGAGTTAAGGTACTGCTGACCATGAATTCAATGTTCATGAAACAATAATATATTAAATAAGAAATCTTTAAACAGAAATACATACAAGTAAAGGTTATATATTGATCAGCTGAAAAAGTATTTTGACCAGAGGCTCACAGAAACCTAACTCTTTATTTCTCATAGGACCAATAATGCTGTAATCATTAATTCAAAGGTCCCCGTGACTTTATAAATGTAATTGTTTTGAATAATGAGAATCAACTGCATCTATATGTCTCTTTATACAGGGGTATATGTGTAAAGATCTACCAGATATGATTATATTTGAGGATAGAGGATAGATTGAGAGAGGTCATTTAAGGAGAATCTTAAGCTTTGTAGTCAATTAAAAAAAACAAAAACAATAGAAGAGGTGGAAGGGCCCAGGGATTTAGCTCAGTAGCACTGTGCCTGCTTTGCAACCACAAGGTCCTGAGTTTGATCCCCAGGACTGGGGGTGGGGGTGGGGGGTGGAAGTATAGTAACACAATGACATAAACTGCAGAGCTAAGAAAAAATGATAATTATTCTAATCCCTTGTTCCTAACCACTACATTTCTCTCAGTATATTTTCACCATAAAATGGAATGAGGAACTAACTTCTCCTCAGAGAACTGGAAACTGGTAAACTGTTAGAGGCAGTATAGTTAGTTGATGGTTAAGAGAATGAGCTCAGAAGCCATAGTGACAAGGTTTTTTTTTTTTTCTCCTACCAGGGATTGAACTCGAGACCTTGCACTTACAAGGCAGGTGGCAAAACCACTGAGCTAAATCCCTGGCCCCATATTGACAAGGTCTGAACCACGGTTTTATCACCCACTAGCACTATTCCTAGGCAAGGTACTTTATTTAGCCTCGTTGCATCCCAGGTTTCATATACAAAAGAGGATCACCTAGTGGTGGAGATTAAATGAGCTATCACATGAAAAATGCTTAGAATAACATCTGCTCCCATAAAAAAAATATTAACTAGCTATCACTATATTACTAATATTTTGACCAAAAACAATGACTGCTCTAAAAAACAAGAGATACATTACTTTTATTTCCTCTATTATGAAGAAACTGATAATTAGCAAGTTTAAGTAACTTGTTCAAGGTTACCGTTTTTCTTTTTTTTTGTGTAATGGGAATTAAACCCAGGCTTTCATGCACGCTAGGCAAGTGCTCTATAAATGAGCTCTATTCCTGGTCCCAGGTTACTTTTAAAATTAGCCAGCAGCAGAGCTGGTACTTACCCTTGACTGACTCATAACTACCATGCTATAATTTAACTACTAAACTATACAGCCTCCCTTCAGACAGAATCTCACAGGAATGTCCCTTTTTGTATTTTTCTCTGTTGTGTATGTATTGTTCTTTGTACATCTGAGGTTTGTTCAGAATCCAAGTAAAACAAGTTGTTCCTGACAAAATATGTTTGCTGGCAGGGAACATGGCAGATACAGAAGAAAGGAGTTAAGATGAAGGTAAAATATTTGCTGATATCATGCTAACATCTTTAAATACTGCCAAGAAATTCTTGTTCTAAGGGCTAAAAATTAGGCAGAGATAATTTAGTACTGCTTACCAATACATTAAAATGAAGGCTCTGGGCTGTAGTATGCCTAAGAAGACACATTCATTCAAACTATCTATGTGCAAGGTTCCCAATTCACATATTACTACATCTCTGCTACAAATGATAAAATTAGAAGGGCATGAGCTTTCTAAAATAATGTTTATACCCAGATTCTCTGTCATCACAGGGTTGTAATTTCTAGTAGCCTGAAGACATTTCTTTTAAAGCCCTCAAGTATACGGAATATTCCTTAGGTGAACCTACTGAAGTCATGTTTTACAAGTTTGTTCAGTCTAGCTTCATGGAACACTTCATATTCTAGAGTTAGAACATCATCTGGGATTGCCTTCATCAATAAACAGTGACACCTCAACTACTTTCTACGGACAAAGTTAACCTTTAAGAGACAAAAGGATAAACAATGCCGAGGATTTAGTTCAGTGGTTCTGGAGCCTGCCTTGCAAGTGCAAAGTCCCGAGTTCGATCCCTGGTACCAAAAAAAAAAAAAAAAAAAAAAAAAAGATAAACAATGAAGAAACTAAACTGGCGTCCCAAAGTGTTTATTCCAAATATAAAGAGTAGTATTTATATTACATAATACATATTAGAAAATGTCAACACTATCGCTCAACTGTAAGGCAAATAATAAAAGCACTGGCACCAATGAGACCAATGTGCACTCACTGTATAGCTACACTTCATAATAACATGTAGAGAGCAGGAAATTCTCATATTTCAAAAGATCACTATGCTGCTGAAAAGCTGAAGCTATCCTAACAAAAATATCTTTGGAAATTCATCTGACTAAAGCTCTGGGCCCTGAAACTTCTACAGACTCTTTACTACAGTGTAGCTTGCTTTAATAGTTCATTAATACTAGTTGAGAGTACTATTTTTTACTGAGAGGACTTCTTAATAAAGAATGATGCCCACAGCTGAGATGATGAAGAAAAACTTGTTTCAACTGGAACCCAACAATTAAGATATCAACACAGAAAATTCTTCATTTTTAAGAAAGAGTTCATTTTTGCTTCTCCCAAAACTGATTTCACTGCCTTGCCCATTACCATTCTCTTGACATCACACAATTCCACAAAGAATAATCTAAGAAAAACCATTTAACCAACAGGTATAATCTCACAGCATATCAGTAATACAAACTTAATTCCAAGGCAGTATTGAACAAATTAATTTATCTTGACCATGTCCCTATTGCCATCTGTTTACATCATACTGCAACAATTGGTATAACAGGAATCCCAAACTGAGCCACAAAGTGGTGAATGATGGAGAGTCAGCCTTTAGTAGGCTGTCACAAATGTTGCATACTACCTTTAAACTTGCTCCACTTGTTTGGATGGACATCTCCCCTGATGTTTCATTTAAAAGAAATAAAAAACCAACCTTTCAAATTCTAGGACCCCTGACTGGATTATGCTGGCACACTTACCTAAAGCTGTAAAATCTGAACCAGATTTGAATAGAGCAGAAGCTAGGAGCTGGAACTGTAAAGAAAAACAAAAGCAAATTAGCTGGTTAGTGTGTTGAAGAAAAACAACTTCTACAACTTTGACCATTAGCCTCTGTATGTTGCTGCACATATGTTGTACAGGTTCATTCAACCAAATATTGACAAGAAGAACACATGTAGATTAAGAATATGCCTGCTTTTTTATTGGAGTGCTATTACTGTTTTCCAAAATACCTGACAAAGTCTTGCAATTATTTTTCAAAGTTTATTAAAGTATATACTAATCAAGGAACAACAGGTTTACTGCAATAAAAAATATAATCACTCACTTTGGAGTCTATTAATCTATCCAGGCTGGTACCCCAGACATAGTTTCTGAATTCATTTTTTTTTTTTTTTTTGGTACCAGGGATCGAACTCGGGTCCTTGCGTGCTTTCGAGGCAAATGGCAGAACCACTGAGCTAAATCCCTGGCCAGTTACTGAATTCTTAGTATAGTGTATTCTTAAATCAAAAATAAATGCATGCCCCTGTAAAATATCTGAGGTCTCTGCTGTGTAAATCCAACTGTGAGAAAATAGCACACATAGGCCATTCCTAAATTACAAAGTACAATGGGATCCCACAGTCATGGATAATTATATTTTTACCACTGAAAGTACTCCCACCCCACCCCTTTTTGAGACAGGTTCTTGCTATGTACCCCAGGTTGAGCTATATTTCCAGCCCCTTTTATCTTTCATTTTGAGATAGTGTCTTGCTAAGCTGGTAAATTTCTAGGCTGCACTCAAACTTGCAATCCTTGAGATCCTCCTGTCTTAGCTTCCCAGAGTGCCAGGATTACAGGTGGGCATCAGGCTCAAGTCTTTTGTTTCATCATTAATTGTCTCTCTGTTTTGTCCAAGAAGTCTTTGGCTATCCCAAAATTATAAAGATATCTTATCTCCAGGCTTTATTGGGTTTTTTTGTTTGTTTTTGGTACAATGAGATCAGGCCCTTGGGATTTCAAGGCAGGTGTGGCAACACTAAGCTAAATCCCAGGCCCTGGGCTTCATGGGTTTATATTTAAATCTGTAATCTTAATTTTTGTGTAAAAGTAAAATACAGATTGAGATATCCAGTTATTCAGCATCATTTGTTAAGAAGACTTTCCTTTCTCCATTGGACTCGGTAAAAACCAGTTGGTCATATATATGTGGGACTATTTTTGTACTCTTTGTCCTTCAGCAAGTACCACACTGCCTGAATGCTTTATACAGAGCATAACATCAGGTAGTATAAAACCTCCAATTTTTTTTCAAAATTGTTTTGGATTTGAATTTTGTTAGATGCTTTTCTTCACTTAAGGAGATAATCTATGATTTTTCTTTATTCTATTTATATGGTGAATTATACTGACTTTTTTTTTTTTTAATTGTATTCAGTACCAGGGATCAAACTCAGGACCTTGCACTTCTGAGGCAGGCATGGCACCACTGAGCTAAATCCCCGGCCAAGTGACTGATTTTCAAATGTTAAACCAATCAAATATTCCTAGGATTCCCCTCCATTTGGTCATGATACATTAATCTTCTAATATATTGCTGGATTCAACTGAGTAAAATTTTCATAACAATTTTGCATCTATATTCATGAAAGGTATTAATCTATAATTTTCTGCTTGTAATGTCTTTGCTAAGATTTTTTGTTTTGTTTTCTGGTACTGGGGATTGAACTCAGAACCTTGCAAGGTTCTTGCAAGGCATGGTGCCACTGAGCTAAATCCCTGGCCCCAGTCTTTGCTAAGATTTTATACCAGAGTTAAGATGGCTTTATAAAAGAATTCAGGAATTGTCATGTCTTCCTTTGACTTCCAGAAATCTATATAAAATTGTTTAATTTTTTCCCTTCCCTTCCTTAAATAGATGGAAGAATGTGCCATCTGAGCCTGGACTTTTCTTTGTTGGAAAGTTTCTATTTACAAATTCAAACCTGACATAGAATAAGGAGTTCCTTAAGATTATCTATTTCCTCTTATGTCAGTGTTGATAAATTCAATCTTTTAAGGAATGTATCCATTTCATCAAATTCCTCAATTTATTAACAAAGTTGTTCTAGTATCTCTGTATTATCTTTTAATGTATGCAGGATCTGTAGTGATACCACCTTTTGCTTTGTGATGCTGATATTTTATATGTCACTTTTCTTTTCGATAAGTCTTGCTAGAGGATTATTAATTTTAGTTACCTTCTCAAACAACTGATTTTTCACTTTAAAATTTTTCTCTATTATAGTACTTGTTTCTGATTTCACTAATTTTCTATGTACTTATTTGGAATTTAATTTGCTCCTCTTTTCTAACTCCCAAGGTGAAAGGCAAACTTCATTGTTCTACATAAAGACAGGGAGAAAACTGTTTTTTGAGTAAGTGGAATTGATATGTGAGGCCTATGATTTTAACAAATACTAAATGATATTAGAGACCCAGATCCAAACTCTGGATTCACATATCCAACCGCTACCTCAACATCTCAGGTTGGTTGTTTCATAGGCATCTCAAATCTATGAAGCAGTCCCCACCTACTGCCACAAACAGCTCCCTATAGAGCCTTTTCATTTCAGCTGATAGTTACTGCCATCCTTCCAGATTTTCAGATCAAAAAACTTAGAGTCTTTTAAATGCTATGTTCAATTTATCATACAAATCTCTTGGTCCTACCTTTAAATATACTGAAGATATATCTCATCTATTTCATTTATCACTCTACTGACTGCTACTACTTTTGATATGAACTACAATAATTCCTGGCTTAGACTTTTACCATCTCCCTGATGGGTCTCTCTGTCTTCATTTTCATTCCCTTTCAGTTTATAGTAGTTAGAACAATTAAAACATATCATATCATATCATTCTTCTCTATAATACCCTGACTCCTTATTCATTCAAAGTAAATGCCAAAGTTCTCTGGCTTATGAAGTTATTCACAATTTGTTCTTCTAACACTTGCTCTTACCTGTCTGACCTTGTATCTGACTATTCTTGCCTTTAACTCTCTATTTCATTTACCATGATCACCTTGCCATTCTCCTGAACAATGACAGAATGCTTCTAACCAAGGATGTTTGTTCTAGCCCTCCCTTTGCCAGAAATAATCTTCACCAAATTATCTGCTTGTATCATTCCTCACATCCTTCATATCTTTGTGCAAATCTCATTTCTAATTTAGGTTTATTATCATCATCCTTTTAAAACTGCAACTGTCCAATTCTCATCTTCTATGCTTATCTCTTTTTCTCTTTTTTATTTTTCCATAGTACTGACCAAATTCTAATATACTATATAACTTATTTATTATATTTATTATTTATTTTCTCTTCTACTAGGATGTAAGCATATGGGGAGGGATCTTGTTTGGTTTGCTAACATATCTTCTATGCCTGCAATGCTTTGCATATTGTAGGGAATTCATACACAGCTGTTGACTAATACTAGCATTATGGAAACTAAGCAGAAGCACTGTTCTATTATAGAGTTCTCTAAAAATAGTAAACATGATTTTGGGATCTTTTTTTCAGCGCTTTTCTAGAAAAACATATCATTGTATAAGGTTTAATAGAAGTTTATCGCCAATTCAGAACCCATGTTCTAGAGACTAAAAGAAGCAAAGAACCAAGTTTGTGTGGGTGTGTGTGGGTGTGTGTGTAGCCACACACTGTCCTGATAAGAGGCACAACAACCAACAACCGATGATCATGATAGTAACCACACACGCAAAATCTTTAAAAAATGCTTTTAATTACTGTTAAAGTCATTTAAATAATGAAAAATTTATAAAACATACACACAAAACAAAACCAGGTTACTACAGAAAATAAATAGCAGCAAGGCCTTTCTTAACAAGTAGAATCACTTCCTGTAAGGAAAGAGATCTATTTGCCTCACAAATGCTATAAATATATATACACTTTTAACTGTCACCAGGGGACTTCTTTATCAAAAATAGATTATTGGAATATAAAAAGTTTTAAAAGTTAAATCTGTTCACACATTTTAAACAAAACAAGAATCTTGTAGACCTGTAACAATCAGTGTCAAGAGTTTTTTTCTAGGGCTGGGGCTTTAGCTCAGTGGTTCCGCCACCTGCCTCACAAGCATAAGGTCCTGAGTTCAATCACCGGTACCAAAAAAAGAGGTTTTTTTTTTAGTTTTTGCTATACCTGAAGACAGAGGAGAATCTTTGGATAAGGGTATGGTTTTGAGAAAACTTTCTGAGGTCATTCTGATGCTAACAAACACAATACTATTTTACTAACTTCTAGGGCTAAACTACTCTCACATGATTAAGCTTTTAGGAAACGGCTTGGAAGTCTATAGCATATAAAACACATTATACTATTAAAAAAAAAAAAAGAAGGGGCTGGGGATTTAGCTCAGTGGTTCTGCTGCCTGCCTTGCAAGCACAAGGTCCCAAGTTTGATCCCCAATACCAAAAAAAAAAAAAAAAACTTAACTACCAAAAATTTTCAAATGGTTCTGTCTGAACTCAAGATACCTCCCTGTCCTGATTTTTCCCACTAGCTTAGCTTTAAGAACAAACTGTTATCTTTGGCCCATGTAACGCTCCCACAGCTGAAATTATTTACTATGAAATTCTTTTGTTTTGGTTTTTAAAATAAGGAGAAAATGAGTGCCTAATTATAGCCATTTTATATAAATTATGGAGAAATCAAAAGGAAATCTCTGTAACTTTCAAAGTATTTCCAACAAAATTGATACTAATGGACCTCACATTATGTAGAGTTGTAAGTCATAATAGCTTAAACCAAACATATTCTGCTTTTTTTGGCATAACTACAATAATTTCCTGTGTTTCCAATAGAATCATGAATTGACAGAAGTCCTAAGAAAAACAAAACAACTGTCTCCATGCAGGGACACTCTGGAACCTGAAGTATGTCCCACTGATTCTCTCTACCTAGTAACAGGCTGTAACCAACAGTGAGTGAGAGAAATAGGACTTAATATCACAGCAGAAAACAATGAATGACCTCTGTTTTGGTGCTGAGGACATGCAGGCTCTATTGCTTTGCAAGTACAATGAACCTGGTGTGTTAAAGTGATCTGACATTAAATCTAAAACCTGTGTCAATGCCAAAGACAGGAAAGCATTGTTTGATATTGCAATTATAAAGCCAAAGAAAATCAACAGCTAAGAGGGAAATGTGTGGGACAGAACTGTGTACCATCCGCACCAATTCTAGGAGTGAAAGGGAAAATGGATTGCAGTTCAGATTTGCTAGATGAACAAGGATAGAAAAGGAAAAGGAAGGAAAGAAAATGAAAAGGAAGAAATGTCAAAAGGAATCTCAGAAGTTAGGAAAAAGAAACATTTGTGGTGGCATACGTCTGTAATCCCAGAACTCTGGGAGGCTGACACAGGAGGATCACAAGTTTAAGTCCAGCCTGGGCAACTTAGCAATTTAACAATACTCTGTCTCAAAATAAAAAAAATAAGATCTTGGGATGTAGCTCAGTGTTAAGGCCCTGGGTTCAATATCACCACCACCAACCCCTCCCCCAAAAAAGGTTAGTGGAAAGAGGCTACTGTAAAACCATGAAAGTCATTGTGGGCACAGTCACACACTGGATGGGCAAATATGCCCTTAAGAATATGAAATCTTTAGAAAACGCTGCTTCTAGCCCTGTAACAAGAAACTGAAGTCCTGATCAGCTATTGATCTCTAAAGTTTAAGAACTAATGATGAATGAAGTTAGTAGCCTACAGTCAAGCTATCTTGCTACAATATTTGTACAACTAAACATTAAAGTAGCAGCAAGGATTCTGTTCCCACCAACCTCTCTTTCTCCCTACAGAAAAAAAAAGTTCTCTTTAGAGAACTTGAGTATCAACAGAAAAGTTTCCTTTTTTTTTTTGGTATTGGAAATCAAACATAGGCCCTTCACACTCAACAACAATCTTTTAAAAAAATCTTAAAACAGGATCATATTATGTTTCCACATTGCCCAGGCTGGGCTCAAACCTGTTAAACTCCTGCCTCTACCTCCTAGAGTGCTAAGATTATGAGACTATGTCACAGCACTAAGCTCTAGCAGGGTGTGTATGAAAGGCAGAGAGAGAAAGACACACAAACACAAATGGTTTTATACAGCATAGGCCACGCTGGCTTCAAACTCACTATGTAACCCAGGATGGTCTCACACTTGTGATCCTTCTGCCTCAGTGACCCCAAGGCTGGGATAACATGATACTCCAGTAGCTTTATTGTTCTGTTTTTGATACAGGCTCTTACTGTATAGGCCTGGCTGGACTCAAACTCACTATGTAATACAGGCTGGCCTCAAACTCCTCAAAAGAAAACTTTATGCTGCATTGTTACATAATTCATAAAAGAACCATGAGACTATGGAAAAAGTAAAAATTACTGTTTTCTTCCTGATGTTCAAAAGTAATACCTGAGTTAAAATTTTGTATCTGAGAATTCTTTTTTAAATACATCAAGGGTTTTTTGTATAACTTGCATATTCTCTTATCACATGAAAGTATGCCTGTTTAATATTTAGTTTATCTGCTCTGTGTCACTTTTTTTTTGAGACAGGATCTCTCTATTAGTTCAAGCTAGCCTTGAACTCACTATGTAGCCCAGGCAGCCTTGAACTTGCAGTAATTCTCCTCAGCCTTCCAAGTGCTGGGATTACGGGTATGTGCCACCACACCTGGCTTACTTTTAAGATTAGCGTCATCATATTTTCTTTTAAAAGTTCAAGTTAGACATTTTTTTAAAAAATACTCAATTTCTAAAGTTTATTACCACTTTTCTTTACCTCTTTTGTCTCTTCTGGGTCTGAATGATCCACAGTTATATACAGATCATTTTGCAAGTATTTTAGAGCACTAAGAGGATCTATTTGGGCCTTTTCTTCAAACCTAGAAAAATATAAACAAGAATAATAATTATTTTGAGTTACAAGAAACCATGAAAAATATCTTCAAGATCCAGAGCAAAGTAATATACTTCAGCTCATGAAAGCTTCTGTTTGCAAACAAAAGCATTTGGCAAAATTTTGCTTCTGTTCACAAACTGCATCAGGTGACAAACATGACCATGGCCATCTTCCTCACAAAAATACAAACCCAGCCATCCTCCTCAAAATTATAAAACAAATTAAGTTTGTACACCGAGGTACCACTGTATATGAAATGAGTTATTCTGGAGATCTAAAAAACATGTTTAGGAATCCAGAGTAAGAACACCACCAGGCACAGTGGGGATGTGTAGTCCTTGGAGACATAATGGCAATGCCAGGTGGTCACAAAAAAGATGCAGTGCTAAAGAACAGGTACTTCGTAGCCTCTTCTTAAAAATTCAATCAAGAGGGGCTGGGGAATTAGCTCAGTGGTTCCGCCGCCTGTCCCGCAAGCACAAGGACCCAAGTTCCATCCCCAGTACCAAAAAAAAAAAAAAAAAAAAAAATTCAATCGAGACCTAAGGCAACTGTAAAACAGTGAATATGCCAAATATTTTACATGTTAGAACTGCAAAAAAGCCCAGCGTTTTTTTTATTAAAAACAAGGAGCTATAAAATAAAAATACTTGCTTAGATTTATAGAATGGATTTTCTAAAAAATGTGCTTAGTCTGGAAACTGAAATGAGTATATTCTCTTTTTAAAGGTATCATTAACATTGATTTGATATTTTAAATGAGACTATTTCCATGCCTCAATGAAAATAACATTAGAAAAAACACCTGCAGTCCAAGACAACAACAGCAAACTACATTCATCAAGGAAATAAGACTTAGAACTAAAAAAACAAAAAAACAGGCAGGGGATTTAGCTCAGTGGTTCTGCCACCTGCCTCACAAGTGTAAGGACCTGCGTTCAATCCCAGGTACCGAAAACAAACAAACAAAAAAACAAAAAAACACCTGCAGCACCCACCTGTCAAGTATTGTATTGTGTGAGACACTGTATCAGGTATTTTATACACATCATTTCACTTACCCCCTAAAATAATTCTACGATGATACAGTTTTACCATTTTTAAAAACAAGAAACACAGGACCTAAGAAATGAATTTGACCAAGATAAGAGCGAGTAACAGAAGCACAATCAAACTCAGTTGTACCTGTTCCAAAGCTGAAAAGAAAAAGAGTTCTCTTAAAAGGGGGTGTATGTGTGTTCAGATCTATTTATCTATTAAAGTAAGATAATGTAAGTTTGGTTATAATATAATCATACATGATTTATAAAAAATTGTTATGTTTTTCAAAATAATACAAACAAAGAAAAGACAACTCAATTTTTCTCTGGTAAGGAACATGATAATGGAAATGGAAATGGACTCTATCTTGTGGTGTTCAGGCTGAGGACAACCTCAGTGGTAAGGTGTCTGTACTTCAGGCAAGTTAAAAGCTAGCAAAATATTACAGTTCTCTTGTACCTTTATTTACTTCCTTGGTACACAACATATTGCTCTCCCTCCAAATTTATATTTTAACTAAACAGAATAATTATTTTTCATAACAACAAAAGAAAATAAGGAAGTCAGTTCAACAACACTGGTTAAGCTGCTGTATAGTGAAAGAAGGTCTAATTAGTATGACATTTGAATTAAAATTTACTACCCAGTATGTAGAAACAACTTCATAGGGGTAAAAAAAGAAGGGAATGGAATTAACGTGAGAAAAAGAAAAAAAGGAAACAAAGTCTTTGGAGATAGGGAGGGGTGGAGGAGTTGAAGGGAGGGCAGGGGAATGGGGAAAAAATAAGAACCAAGATGGATTATGTAAAGGTGCAAATTTCCAATGATGAATGTCATTATATTGTACACCTTAAAAGTACCAATAAAATTAATAGAAACAAACTTTGTTCTATTATGCCTGCAATGTAGCCATGTCCTTCAAATTCTTATTTCACTTAAGAGTTTGAAAGGGAAAAAAGTCTACAATGTTTCAAATGTTTAAAATTGGCCTTTTTTTTGGTCAGTTTGAATTAGTAGTAGACAAGATTTTCAAGATGTTTTAGAGCCATCCTTGACTATTCCTTCTGTCATACTTATAACAAACTTATCAAGAAATTTTGGGCAACCTTCAGAGTTATCCAACATCTTACTGTGTTCTCTCAGTCTCTTGAGTATCTCTTCCTCTGCATGTCTCTCAAAAGGTGGTGACCCTCCAATAATCAATCCCCATAGACATTTACTCTTCTCACCCTCCCTAGGCAGCTCAAGGATGTAATGTCAGGCAAATCCTTTTCTCCAAATGCTCACAGACAATCTCCACATCAACTAGTTGATGTTGGTTTGTGTGTGTGTGTGTATGTGTGTGTGTGTGTGTATTTAAAAAATAGAACCAAAACTATAGTTTTTCTGAATTTGCTTACCATTTAAACAAACTATTTTAACAATAAAGTTAACATTAAGTAAAATACTAAGAAAGGAATGTTAGCAACATTAGTTGAAGGTACCTCCAAGTTTAAATTTTGGAAAAATTTATCCCTTGCCATCTAGACAAAGTAAAAATCCATTTTTTCCCTTCTACATCCTGTAGGAAATAAACACTAATTATTCACAATAATGCTTCCCACTGGCTTCTGCATTAATTTATCTCTCAAGCACAACCTGTGAACCAGAGAAACAGTAACTACACATTATACTATAAAGGAACAAAAAGATAATTTATACATACACAGAGAATTTTAGGTAGGTATTTACATTCTATGTAAAATACATAACATGTGCTAAACATACAAAATAAATACTTGCACACATATGTATATACGTACATATATACACACATACACGTGGTGGTTAAATGGAGAGGTGCGGTGTCAGAATACTTAGGATAAAATCCTGGCTTTGAACCAGCACTCCAAAAAATTCTCAAGGATATCCTAGAAAGTGGCAATGAAGCAAACAGTAGATAAAGTCTAACAGAATGAATATACCAGGTAGGGTGAGCAGTTAAACAGAAGGGAAAGAAAGAGAATCAGCAACAGGAAAACAATGCAATGACAGGATAAGTCAACACCCTTAGGTAATAACTCTGAATGTGAATGGTAATGTCAATTCCTCAATTGAAAGACACAGATGGGCAGAATGGATCAAGAAACAAAATCCAACAGGATGCTATATACCAGAAACACATTTAATCCAAAAGGAAACTCACTGACTAAAACTCAAAAGATCGAAAGCAATATTCCATGCAATGGGAACATATACAAAAAAACCAGGAGTAGCTATTCTATTTTCAGACAAAGCGGGTTTCAGGCCAAAACTCATCAGAAGGCAAAGAAGGTCCTTATAAATTGGTTATGGGAACAATTCAACAGAGGGAACAATTACTAACATATATGCACTGAACAACAGTACATCCACCTTCATAAAACAAGTACTCCTGGACATAAAAGATCAGACAAACCTTAATATAATTATACTGGAGAATCTCAATACTCCACTGTCACAAATGGATCAACCAGACAAATAATCAACAAATATCAGTACTGAAGAAAACCTTCAAACAAATGGATTTAATAGATATCTACAGTGACCCACCCAATAACAGCAGAATATGTATTATTCTCCAAAAGAGACCACATATAGCCAATGAAGCATACTTAAGTAAATGCAAAATAATCAAGTTATAGCATGCATAGTATCAGACCATAGCACAATGAAACTAGAAATCAATGACAAAAGAAAACACAAATTATGCAAACACATGGAAATTTTAAAAATACACTCTTGAATAATCACGGGTTACAGAAGAAATCAAGGAAGAAATAAGACAGTTTCTAGTACTAAACAATAATGCTGGTACAACGTATCAGAACTTATGGGACAGAATGAAAGCAGTCCTAAGAGGGAAGTTTATAGCTTTGAAAAATATCCACATCACAAAAACAGAGCAAGCCCAAATAAATAACCTAACAATGCATCTCAAAGTCCTAGAAAATCAAGAACAATTCAAATCTGAAGTTAGTACAAGGAAGGAAATTATAAAGACCAAAGCAGAAATCAATAAAGTTGAAATTAAAAAATACAAAGAATAAATGAATCAAAGAGCTGATTCTTCAAAAGAATAAATGAAATAGACAAACTTTAGCCAATCTTACAAAAAAAAAAAAAAGTGAAAACGTAACGGACACTGACAAAATCCAGAAGATTATTAGCAACTACTTTGCAAACCCGTATGCCAATAAATTGGAGAATTCAGAAGAAAAAGATTCCTAGATACACATGAATTACCAAAATTGAATCAAGGAGATAAAGGACCATACATCATGACCAAGTAGGCTTCATTTCAGGGATGGTTCAACACATGCAAATCAACAAATTTAAACAGCACATAAACAGAAGCAAGGACAAAAATCACATGATTATCTTAATAGACATAGAAAAAGCCTTTGTCAAAATCCAACACCCATTCATGATAAAAACTCTGAAGAAAATAGGTATAATACTTTATCTCAACTGGATAAAAGTCATTTATGACAAACCTGCTGCCAACATCATATTAAATGGGGAAAAGCCAAAAGCTTTCCCTCTAAAATCCGAAATAAGACAAGGATGTCCAGTATCACCACTCCAGTTCAATATAGTACTCAAAACATTAGCAAGAGCAGGTAGTCAAGAAAAAGAAATAAAAGTTATGATACGAAAGAAAGAAGTGGAGTTATCATTATTTGCAGATGACATGATCCTCTACAGAGAAGACACAAAATATTCCACAAAAGACTCCTATAATTAATAACCAAATTCAACAACATAGTAGGATACACAATCAACACACAAAAATCAAGTGTTCCCACAAACCAATAATTAACTCACTGAGAAAGAAATTAGGAAAAAAATATCATTCACAATAGCACCAAGAAAAATTAAATACTTACGTAAAAACCTAAGCAACAAAGTGAAAGATGTCTA